GGGTGGGCTCCCTGAAGCGCCGTGATCCGCTGGCTTTGCAAGGATTGCTCAGCGGGCCAGCAGTGGCGGTAGTACCCCCGTCCCCCAGCGGGCTTAGTTTAAAGCCCAGTGGAGCAGGTCAGCCAGTCTGGCTGAGAAGAGCCTCCTCCCCAGCAGAGAGAGGTGGAGGCCATCCCTTCCCGGCACCTCACTGCCTCTCTCACCAAAGAGCAGGCTGTGGTAATGGAAGCCAAAGCCTTCCCAATGACACCAGCGCCACAGTCTTTGGTTAACTACCGTGATCCTCCTCCCCCACCTCAGCCCATGCCCCGAGACTGGGAGGATTGAAGAGAACACCACTTGTGTCCCCAGAACCTTTAGCCCCACTCCCAAATCCCTGTAGCACCTCATGACCCAGCTGGGAGCACTCTGAACCACGTCATTGGTGCCCACATGAATAAGGAGCACGGGATAGTGGTCTGTGGGCTGGAGGAGCTTAGGGATCTTCTCCGCAATGTCTCGGATGCAGGCCCCTGGGAAGCAGCAGACTTCCCGAGCTAAGGGTTCAGGGCGGCAGATTACCTCCTCAGTCCCCCTCAGGATGGAGTCTCCCACAACAAACACTTTACGTTTTGTCTTGGGGAGAGCGGGGGCGGTAGCTGCAGTTGAGCCTGTGTTGCCTGCGGGAGCTGGCAACTCAGCAGGCTCTGCTGGGGCTGTAAGAGGTTTGTACCTGTTGCTAAGCTCCGGTGGGGCAGGGGCCTTGGTGCAGCGGGCCTTAGGACCCTTGACCACCTTGTTCCATCCCCCTGACTGGACAGAATGGGAGGTCCCGGAGTCCTCCCTTGCCCTGGAGGGAGACCGTGGTCTACCCTCCATCTCACGGGGGGAAGGGCCTGGCAGTAGGAGTCTATCTCCTGCTTGCAGTCCCTGATGGCATGCAGTCTCTGGACTGTGGCCTGGAGCTCCTCCAGCTGGCATGCCAGAGACCCCAAAAGGGAGCAGACCCCACAAGGGGAGTTTGGTTTGTAGTAAAAAAAATTGGGAAAAACTAGCCAGAAATGTGACAGGTTT